GCAGTGTCTGCTCTGCGCTCACGCTCTGTCTCTGTCTCTCTCTCTCTCTCACACACACACATGCGCACACACGCACACGCACACGCCGCACAGCGCTGCCCCCAGGCCCGAGCTCTTGCTCCAGAGCCTGGCGATGCAGGCGTGCACAGCCCGGCCCAGCCCACCGCCATCCCTCCTGACAAAGCCCTGCTCCCGCCGCATGATCTCATCCCACCGGCCCTCGTCTGGCCCCAGCTTGGCCTCCTGACAAGAGAGACAGACAGGGAGACGGAGCTCGAGAAGGGTGGGGGAGGCGGTGGGGTGGGGAGAAACAGTCAGACATACACCCAGCTCACTGACACACATGCACGCGCACACACACACACACACACGTGTCCCCACAGACCCACAACAGACACATACATTCACCACCACACAAATAGAAACACAAACATGCTCACCACTGCACACAGACATGTACCCCCCAGACCCTGATACATATCTCCCACAGACACACACATACACACACACATATGCTCACCACCACACACACAAACACACCCAGCTGCCCTGACACACACACACACACAGACATGTGTCCCCACAGACCTACACTACACACACAGAAACACAAACACACAAACACGCTCACCACTGCACAGACATGTTCCTTCCCAGACCCAGATACATATCTCCAACAGACACACACATATACACACACATATGCTTACCACCACACACAGACACAAACATATCCAGTTGCCCTGACACACATACACACATACACACACACATGTCCCCACAGACCCACACACACACTCACCAGCACCATGCAGAAACACAAACACACCGACACCCTCACCACCACACACAGACATGTACCTTTCCAGACCCAGATACGTATCTCCAACAGTCACACACACACACAGACATATGTCCCTATAGACCCACAGACACACACACACACTCACCACACACACACACACACTCACCACCACACAGACACACATCCCCAACAGACACACACATCCATGTTCATCACCACACACAGACACACACACATCCATGTTCACCACCAAACAGACACACACACAGACATGTAGCCGCTACAGACACAGAAGCTCACAGGCATGCTCACCACTACACACAGACAAATATATACCCAGACACAGACGTGCACACACAGACATACACACACATCATACAGGGAGAAAGTCTGAGGGGCAGCAATGAAGGGAAGGACAGACAGGGAGAGACGTAGGACATCAGAGACCCTCAGAGAGAAAGGGGAGGGAGAGACTAGGAGGGTAAAAACTGCACAAGCCGGTCAGACACAACGGGAGCCCAGGCAGAGACGGAGAGGAGGGCAAGAGGAAGCATGGGCTGGTGGCGGGAGCTCTATGGACAGAGTAGGTGCTAGATGTGCAGTGGCCTGGCCTGAAGAGGTCTGGGCAGGCCTGGCTGTGGCCAACATGGCCACTGCACACACCTGAGGCCGCGGGGACCCTCAGAGCTGTAGCCAGGGCAGGGGGTTACGACAGGTCATACACCAAACACAGCCTCAGGGAAGTGGAGCAGTGGGAAGCAAGCTTGCTGGGGCAGAGAAATGCTGAGTCAGGTCAGGAACCGTTTGGGGGGTTGGCGCGCAGGGAGAAGGCAGACCAGAGCAGAGAAGGAGGGCTGGATGGAGAGTACTGTTGGCTTGGCAGCCCTGGGCCTCGGGTACTGCTAGGTCCCCTCGCTTCCACAATGAGGGAATCTCATGAATCCTCACAGGCAGCCTGTGAAGGAGGCATATCATCCCTCTCTACAGATGAGGCCACGGGTCTGGGAGGCAGGCAACATGGCGGAGATGGGAGCCCGTGCTGGAGCTGCCTCTGGAACTCAGGGTCACCGCTCAGCAACTTGTGGCCTCCGCCCCTCTCATGGTCCAGCCTGGCAGACCCTTTACACTGACAGTGAAAGCAGCAGCTGAAGACTTCCCCCTCAGGCTGGTAGCCTGCCTTCCCAGAGGAGAGGCCCAGCAGGGGCCTGGCTGGGAACCTGAGTCCTGGGGCCCCAACTTCTCCAGGGGCTGGGGACGATCTGTGAGAGGCTGTGAGAGGCGCTTAGTCACGGCTGTTGGTGCCGACAGGGGATGGACTCCCAAGAAGGGCATTAAAGCAACAGCAAAGCCACAGGCATTGCCAGGCCTCGGGCCTCAGTGCCCTTAGCTGCAGGATGTGTATGCCGAAGCCTCACCTCAGGGTCTACCATGTGACTTAACTAAGACACCCTGTGCCTGGAAAAAGGCTCAATAAACTGTAAGGAGCTGTGCACAACTGGGAGTGCAAACAGAGGGAAGAACAAAGCCCCTATTTCAGAAGTGATGCTGGAAAGGCCAGTCAGCCAAGGGCAGGACCACCTTGGAGTGACCTGAGGGAAGTAAAGGGCTCTCCCAGGTGGAGGCATGGCCTCCAACGTCGAGGTCCAGAGTCAGCTGTGATGGGGTGGCCAGAGACTGGGCCTGGGGTCAGGAGGCCATGGGCTGAAGTCCCAGCTCTATCATTAATGAGCTGTGTGACCACAAGGAAGTCACAAACCCCTCTGAGCTTCAATGTCCTCACCCATAATTGTAGATAAGACTCCAGGTCTTACAGAGCTGAGCGTTGCCCCAAAGCACAAGACAGCACCCAGCATGGACCAGCAGGATCCTAAGAGACCGCTGAGGAAGGGCTGCACAGAGACCTGAGCCCCTTTCTCCACAACAAGGGAGCAGTTGGGATTCTGGGACAGCCCACTCTCCTGTCCCCGCCGCCCCCACACCCCGAACCATGGCCATGCTTTCCTGGTCTTGGTGTTGCCTCTAACACCGTGTTTGGATTCATCCCTGTCTCTGCACTCTGTTCCACAGGAAGCGGAACCCTCCTGGTCCAGCCACCATCATCCTGATGTCCCCAGCAATCTGCCAACCCTCTCCCAGCATCTCACTGCCCCCTCCCCCTGTGCAATCCGTTCTTCTTTGTAGTCAGAGTGATCTTTGTAGCCATGTTCTTATTCTCAGCACAAAACCCACAACCCTCAAGACAGGCCCTGTGCTGTTGACTTCGCCTCCAGGCTCTGGAACCACTGTCCTTGGTTTGGTTCTGCCACTAAGCCACGCTTCCTTCTACCTCAGGACCTTTGTTCAGGCTGTTCTCTTTACCTGGGAAGAAGCTCTTCCTTCTTTTCTTCATGTATGCAAAAGTTCTCGACCTCCAGGCCTCAGAGAAGCCTTTCCCCACTCCTGAGTGGTCTCATAACATCACCGACTTTTCCCTCCTGAAACTTACCACAGCTTGAATTTACATATGCCCACGCACACATGCACACCTGCATACACCTACGATTATTTGATGTTTTCTTTTCTTCTAGACCGGGGTCAGGAACCCAGAGCCAATCACCTGATTCCATAAGTGCGATTTTATTGGAACGAGCTGTGCTCATTTGTTCACATATTATCTAAGGCTGCTTTTGGACAGGCTGCAAAGCCTGAACTGTGTACTATCTGACTCTTCATGGACATTTGCTACCCCCTTGTTCCAGACTCTTAAGTTTCCTGAGGTGGGACCACATCTGTTGTAGCCCTCATCAGACCCCAGACCTGGCCAGGTGCCCAACAGAGACATGGAGATATACGTTTCTTGGATAAGTAGCACTTTTTACCTTGTCCAAATTGTGTTGACTTAAGTTATTGTTAAAATTGCAGATTCCATTAAGAACAGACATCACTTATGAGATTCCCAGACCATTTTCTGGCCCACAGCTCAGTACGATCGCGCCGTCCCAACAAAGGCTGGTGGGGCAAAGGCCCTCTGAGCTAGCGGTCACTGCACAGACGTTCCACAAATGACCCAGAGTCCACGTGCGTGGTCTGCAAATGTGCACGGGGAGGAGCACGAACCCACACTCGGGACATTATAGGTTGAGCAGATTTATGAAAATACATCGGGAGATGTCTTTGAAACATTTTCATGAAGGCTGTTTCTAGAGCTACTCCAAAGAACTGATTGACGAATTCAGAGAAAACGTCTGTTTTATTGTTATACAAAGGAAATAATTGATTTTCTTTTCTTTTTCAATGAATTACTCGAACATAAAAAACGTTAACAAGATCTAGACGCTGCATTTGGCACTGCACATATATCTAGAACTGACCGTGACCCTTGCAGGGTAAGGCTTATTGTCATTCCTGCCTTCCCAAGAAGGTAAACTGAGGCTCAGAGGCTGCACGGTTAGAAAGTGACGGGGCGGGGCTGTCCCAGGTCTGTGGGAGTGAAAGCTTACGCCAGGCCCTTAGCTTAAGGAAGATAATGAGGACGATGGGAAATGTAAAACTGTATCTTGGGTGTGCTTAAAGCCCTCAGGCACAGAAGGCTGCCAGCACCTTCTGTGGCCTTGGTTTAACCTAGAAGAGATCCCAGGCAGTAACAGAGTGGCGACGGAGAATATTATGCAGAGAATACTATGCTTTTAGAAACCTGCATGTACCCATCCACTTTTATTTTGGATTTTACTTTAAATACAGATGTTTTGAGTGAACACAGGGCTAAGAATGCCCATTCTGGCATATAGGCCTGGTCTCGAACCCCAGCTCTGCCACTTTCCAGCTGCGTGACCTGGAGAAAACTCCTCGGCGTCTCTGAGCGTCGGTGCCCTCATCTGTCGAATGGGGATGATCACAGGACTTACACCAAGGGGTCATTACGGTGATGAAATGAGATGATGCATGTCACCCTTGAACCTGTTGGGGGTTGGTGTGCTTGGGCCCCTCGCTGGCTCCGAGGCACCCCCGCAGGTAAGAACACACTGCCTGAGAGGAGGGACAAGCCTCAGTCGCGGGCTGCCCAGCTTGGTGGACAAGCTGCTGCTCCTTGGAGGCTCACACCACACCTGGATGAACCAAGGCACCAGAAGGCAGAGGCGGTGCATGGCCCTGGGTTCAAATCCGGTCACACTTCTACCTCCCCGTGACCCCTAAAGAACCCCCAGCGGTCACCTACCTGCAGACTTGGGAGTGAACTTGTCTCGGTTCGCAGCGCACACTGCCAGCAGTCTGTAACCGAGGTCCAGGTCAAACCCTTGCTGAGCTGCCACTCGACTGACCACCTGCCAGCAAGATAGAGAGGAAGGGCGGCGTGAGTCACTGCCAGTGCCAGGCCTCCGAGCCCAGAGTGGTACATGCGTCCGTCTAGCAGGCAAGGCAGCTGAGGTGGGCAGGCTAGGCTAAGGCAGGTCGCCAACATCAGGCAGAGCTGGGACTCAAACTCTGCCTCACTCAGTTGCTCCATAAAGCCCTTCCTCCTTGCCAGGCCCTGGGATCCAGACCCCTGCCCTCAGGGGTGTCTAGTCTTCCCGTGAGCCTAACCCCAAAGTCCAGGCCCTGTGGCTTTCAAGGACTCCATATGGCCACATTCCAGAAGGTGCTGTACCACCGCGTTTTGGATGGCTACAGGCCAGGTCTCTGTTCCTCCTTCCCCTGGGGCAGCTTCCTAAACTCCCTTCTAAGTCCTGGCCCCGGAAGTCTCCCACACCTAGCATCTCTCCCATCCTCTTCCCGAGCTCCTGCACCCACCTTCGTGGGTGCTTGCTGCCCTCACCATTCCAGGCATGGTCCCCACCCAGCGGCACTGGCCCCTCCTGAGTCAAAACGTGTGCCTGGGGAGAAGCACGGATTTAGGACACCACTCCAACGAGCTGCGGTGTGGAGCTGCCGGACAGACTGCTAAGGCTTCTCCAGGTGGACATGTCCATACTCCTCAGTGCTGCAATCTGTACCAGGCACCCTGCTGCCTCTCAGACCCAGAGACCACAGGGCCCTCATGTGCAGCCTGGGGTCTGTCTCCAGCATGGGGCACCTGCTCAGCACATTGGAGTGTCGATGGAAGCTTGCTAACAGCTGTGTATTTGGAGCCCGAGGACCCTCCCTTCTCCTTGAGGACCTCTGAAGTGAGGGCCAGAAGGGGGAGAGGTGAGGGACTGGGAGCGCTGTCAGTCCCCTGGGGCAGTGTGGGGCGGGGTGCTCTCGGGAGCCCTGCAAATGGCTCCACAGGCTCCACTCCTTCCCTGCCCACCATGCCCAGGTGTCCTGCCACAGCCAGACCTACTCCCTCCTGCCCGCCTCCCTCATTAATGGCAGCAAAATTAGGTTTCCTTATGAAGAAGGAAGGACCTTGGAAAAGAGAGTCGGTGCAGGAAGCAGCTGGAGCTGCTGTGGTTGAGTGGAAGAGGAGTGCTCCCAGATGTGGGAGCTCGTTCTTGTGACAGAGGGAAGACTCCGTCAGCCAGCCCCTAGAGACCACCCGCTCCAGAAGCGCTCGGAGGGCCTCAGAGGGCCTCAGGCTGCCATGGGGTTTGGCCCAGCCCCTGTAACCATGAGAGTAGATTCCCCATTACTTGCTTTATATTTAAGGGTTCGTTACAAGGGCTCTAGGGATACAAAAGGATGGGAAAAGTGCTAATCTAGGCCAACCCTGTCATTTAAAAAAAGTATGAACACTTAAGACCTGGACAGAGTGTGTGTGGTGAACCAGGCAGGAGCCATGGGATGCCCTCTTCCCAGGACCACCATGGCCTCTGGAATGGGGCGCTGCCCCCCACACCTCCTGGAACACCCAAGGCAGGGAGGAAAAGGGACGTCTCAGGTTTGAATGTTTGCTCAGCTTCTCTGCTGCAAACAGGAACCCCTGACGCAGAGCAACCCTGTTCCTCCAGGCCTCTTTTCTATGGGCTCTATTTGCCCCTGCCCCTACATACACCCCCTGGTCCAGAGGCTCTGGGCCACCTCTGGGCAGGGTAATCTAACTGTTCATTTCACTGTCCAAGCAGAAAAACCGAGGTCACTAGCTCTCTGTGGCCCGTTGAACATTTTGGGTCTGGAGACTGGCACTGTCCCTTTAGCAAGTGAGGCAGGTGAGGCAGGCAGGCTAAGGCGGGTCCCCAAGATTGGGCAGAGCTGGGACTCACCCCAGTAGGCCCAGAAGAGTCACTTCAGCTTAGATGATGACTATCATGGTCTTTTCTTTGACAGAACCTTGGAGTGGATATGAATGAGCATAGACAATTTGTTTGGACTAGTGCATCAGTGAGGCTACTGTTGGTGGGAAATGTCGACGGAGGCAAATAGCGTAATGAGAGTGCTGGCTCCCCGGTAGGAGGGTTAAATGAAAGCTTTGTGAGCAGTGAAGTGCCAAATTCTCACAGCAGCTCCACGAGGTGGTATCATTATCTCTTATATAGGAGGAAACAGAGTACCGTATGAGACAAAGGTTACGAGTCTTGTCCATGATAGAGCCTGGATGTGATCTCAGGCAGTCAGGCTGCAACGTCTGGGCTCTTTCCATGACAGTTTCTCTTTTTCAGCCCACAAAGGGTTAAAGCCATAACTCCCAAAAGAAGGGAGAAGCCTCAGGCCCTGTGTTGAGGGCAGAAAGGCAAAGGTCCCTCTGTTTGGCCAATACTGGCTAATCCTGTTGCTCTGGTTTAAAACACACACACACACACACACACACACACACACACACAGAACCAAATAACCAGCTGAACTGAGCAAGAGAGGCCTGGTGTTGGTATAGGGCTGTCCTGCAGGTCTGGGAATGTCTGCTTGTCACCAAATGCCCTGAGCTCTACCATTCAGAAGGGTCATTGGCAACAGCCCCCTTTCATTAAGCCCAGAGAGGGCAGGGCCTTACTGAAGGCAGCACAGCACAGTGTGGCTAAGCTGGACCCCGAGGCTCTCGAGGCCTGAGGTCCACACCTTGGCGTCCTCTGGCCCAGCCCCAGGACCCCGCTGGAAAGTCCCGTGAGGTGGGTCTGACTGACAGTGGTGGGGAGGTGGGCTTAGGTGAGTAGACAGTTGTGTTTCATAGGCCTGCTCCCCCCCTAAGTGGGCATGGCACTCCCAGTGAGGGTCCTGTGTGCAGGTGGGCGGGAAGACCCTCCTCCGTAAAGACCGGAGGGGAGAAGCAGCTGTGCTGCTGCCCTCTGCTGGATGCTCAGGCCCAGCCAGCTCAGGGCGCTCTGAGACTTAGCCCCCGAGGTCCCAGGGGGACCTCCAGGTCAGGGAGTCCAGCCCATAGTGCCAGAGAGGGAAACCGAAGCCCAGAGATGACAGAGGGCGTGTGCTCAAGGTCAGGTGGCCAGTTAGTCCCATCTAGGGAATGTGCTGCCTTGAAAAGCGGTGAGCCTCCTGGCTACAAAACAGGACAAGCTGTCTGGGGGATGCCAGAGAAGGGATTTCTGTCCCAGGCACGGGGCCAGACTCTGACATCTTCTGAGGGAGTCAGGGATACTGGAGGCATGCCAGGCAGGTACTCTAATTCTGCCCCCCCCCCCACACCGTACTGTGCAACCTAAGGCAAGTTACTTAGTGTCTCTAAGCTTCAGGTTCCTTCTCTGTGAAAGTGCAGGGACATACTCTGTTGCCACGGCAGGTGCAGGGGCCTCTGATAGCTCAATGTGTCGCAGTTCTGTCTCCCGGCTCTAACAGAAGCCCCCCAGGATAGAGCCCTCTCCCCACTCTGCTACCCATCTCGGTGCAGGATGTGCATGTATTTGGGGCTGCTGCTGGGGCTGCCGTGGAGTCAGGCATGAGATGGGGTTCTGCACCTGCCACTTACTAGCTGTTCTACCTCACCCAAGTGACTTAGCGTCTCTGGGCCTCAGTTTCCCCATCTGTGAAATGCCCTCCCTGTGAGGCTGAGAGTCAGGACCAGGCACAAAGCTCAAGGAACGCTAGCTGTGAACATAGCCTGACAGCTTCAGGAGTGACTTCTCTGCTGCTGTGGGGAAGCTCTCCCTGGAGAGAAGGGAGGGCATTGCGGTTAGGCTGGCTGGCCTGTTTCCCTCTGCCACCTCCTCTCCTTCCTGTCTCCCCTTCTCCTGTTCTCTGGCCTCCTCCTTTCTGTTCCTTGAGCATATCCAGCATGCTCCACCTTGGGGAAGGAAGAAGGAGTGAGTTCAGAAGGGCCTGATTTTAAGGGGCTCCTCAGGCATGGGGCTCAGTCCTGCTGCTGAGGGAGGGGCCGGGAGGCGAGCCGCCGGCTCACCAGGAAAAACCTGGTCTGAGGAGCAAGTGGTGACCAGGGCTCACAGCCCTCACCCCCGGGGAGGGGCCTCAGGACTCCCACACTTCTGCATTGTGGGGTCAGAGGGCCTGAAGGGGAGCGTGGGGCAGGGGAGTGTCAGCGGCTCTTCACCCCAGGCTCCAGCCCCAGGATGACAAAAACATGCCCTTTTTCTGCTTGAGGCTAAGTGGCTTTTAATTTCTATCCTCCAAGTAAGCCGGAGTCAGAGGAGTTTGTTCCCAGGGGCCACCCAGGGGACTGCTGCCACAGGGAATGCTTCGACCTGCCACTTGGATGGGGATGGGTGCATGTGCTGGGGGGAGCTCGGTGGCTTTGCCCTGCTTAGGCCCCTCAGGATGTCTGACCTCCCGCATCCCCTTCCTTGGGGCACGGCTGAGGACGTGGGACCAGCATCAGGGCCCTGGGGGGTCGGTAGTACCAGCCTAGGACTGTAGTGAGCTGCTCCCCCTTTCTCAGTGGCCTTGTTCATTAAGCAGAAGTGACAATCCCTTCCCTGCCTAGTCTGCAGGGTTTTCATAAGGATGTGCGGGGACAGGGCCCAGGAGAGTACCTTGGGTACCAAGGGGTCTGCTCTGACCTCCCCATTCCCTGTACTTTCTTGCTGCTGGTTCTACTGAGCTCCAAGGGACAGTCAAACTCAACATCTCTGCCACTGTGGCAGGAGAACCAAAGGCCCCTTTCTGGTCAAGCAGCAGACTAGAGAGGTGCGGGTTAAAGCCCACTATTCAAGCAAGAGTGTGCCGTAAACTGTCTTGCAATGAGGAGAGGCCCAGAAGGGCTGGCATTGTGCCTGTGTCACATTGTCACACCATCGTCCCGGTCCAGGAAGCCAAGGCCTCCTTGCTGTCTAGTCAGATCCTATAGGCTCCTCCCTGGGCTCCCTCCTCCAGGAAGACCTCCAAAATCCCTCTAGCCTATCCTCCTAGGATGCTCCCCTCAGAACTCCTATCCTCACATAAACCATAGCCTATCGCTCACCTGCTTAATACCTTCAAGGCCCCCAACCACCCTTCAAATAATATCTGAATTGCTCTCCTTCAGCCGGCAGGTCCTGTGTTGCCTTGTTTCTGCTTCCCTCTTTAACCTCATCTTGCGTCCTTTCCCTCTCCTGTGCTCCAGCCATCTGAGACTTTCTTTCCTCCTTTCTTTCCCCCCTTCCTCCCTCCCTCCCTTCCTTCCTCTCTCCCTTCCCTCCTTCTTTCCTTCTCTCTCTTTCTTCCTTTCCTTCCTCCCTTCTTTCTCTCTTCCTTTCAAGATTTATTTATTTATTCGAGAGACAGAGAGTGCATGCGAATGGGGGAAGGGGCAGAGAAACGACAATATCCAAGCAGACTCCCTCCAAGCACGGAACCCCATGTAGGGGCCCGATCTCATGAGCCACAAGATTAGGACCTGAGCCAAGGACGCTTCACTGACTGAGCTACCCAGGTGCCCCAAGATGCCTTTCTGTTCCTTGAACAAATCAATTCCTGGGGCCTTTGCCCTGGTGGTTCCCTCTGCCCAGAGCACCCTCCCCTCTCCTGGCTGACTCCTCCTTGCCATTCTGGTCTCAGCCGGGGGTCACCTCCCTCAGGAGGCTTCTCCTGAGCAGCACCCCAATCCCTCTCATGGGGCGCTGGCATATGTCCCTATTTACTCCTTTATTGTTTAGGGTCTGCCTCCCCCATCCTCCCCTGGAACATACACTGTTGAGAGAGGTCCACTGCGCTTGCTGCTCTGCCTCTGGTGAGCACAGGGCCTCGGTGAATGCTTGTCAATTAATAAATGAGTGATGGGGCTGGAGCAGGGCCAGTCACTGCTCATCTTGTGCCCCCAGGCCCACCAGGCCAGCCCAGGGCCATTGTCTGATACAGCTTGAATCCCTACCTCCCAGGCAGGGCCAGGCTTGGGTAGGGTGCTGGGAGGCTGTGGCAGCCAGTCTGTCTGCACCTTGAGGTGGTCGTCACCTCCTACTTCATTTCACTTATGGCTGCCAACAGCTGGGATGGAAATGGGGGAGGCCTCTGGTAACATCTGTCCTTGCCCGAAGGGCTTAGCCTGAACCAGGATCCCTGCAAAGAGGATTACAGGAGCTGGTAGAGGGAGGGGATCCCAGAGGGCTGGAGGATGAGGAGGGTGGGGGAGTGTAGGCGGCCGCCTGATTTGGCCTGGTGGTTCCAAGGGAGACAGATGGCATTGGCCTCCAACGGGGGAGCGCCGAGGGTCTCAGCTGCACACCTGGCTGACATCCCTATGGGCCAGGAGCATTTTCTCTAGAGGCAGTGGGGTCTTGGCTGTGTGACCCTGGAGAGCCATCTCAGCAAGCCTGAGTTTCCTCTAGAAAATGGGGATGATGGCAGGGCGGGCCTCACGGAGTGTGAGGACTCAGTGAGAAGGTGTGTCGTGGGCCCAGCTCAGTGGCAGGCACAAGGGGTGCCGGGAAAGGTTAGCCCACGACCATGTCGCTCTCCTCTTGCTCCAGGCCAGGGCTGTGCTGGGGCCTTTCGCCGCCCTCCTCTCTGGAGCTTCTCAGAGAACATGGCACCCCCGTGTTTTACCTATTGCTCCTTCCCAGCCCGGCATCCGCCTCGGCCCCTCCTCCCCAGTCTTGGGGCAGCGAGGCTCTGCGGCCATCTGTTCACCCATGTTCTCTTCAAAGCTGACTCAGGGCCTTCCGAGCAGCTGCCCTCGCTGGCCACCAAGCCTCCCTCGAGCTCACGTGGCTGGGGTCGTTCGCAAGCCGCGAGCTCTTTCCAGGCAGCTGTCCGCCGGCAAGCTCCGGGCCTGGCCTCTGCCCAGCCTGTGTCCTAGGTCCTCACCGAGCTGAGTGAACTTCAGCTCTCTGGGCTCTGTGGTCCATCTGGGCCTTTGCACATGCTGTTCCAAGTACCTAGAACGTGCTCACTCTGCCTGGCTGCTCGGGAACTCCAGCAGGGGGGTCTGGGGCTCCCCGCCTCAGTTTCCAGCCAGCCGCCCCACCTCCCAGGCCGCCGGCGCTTCCCTGCCCACTGCTGCTTTCTCCTTGCACACAACTTTCTTGGCCCTCTCTTTCCACGTCGGGGTCCCCCGCTAGAGGGACTCGGGCTGGGCAGAGTCTTATTCTGTGGTTCCCTAGGACTTAGCAGAGGGGACCAGACGTGACAAATGAGGGATCAGTCAGTGTTTATTTGGATAGGTGGATGGCTATAAGAGGAGCTCAATAAATGCTTCTGTGAATGGGTAGAAGGATGGAAGGACGGATGACTATAGAAAGAGCTCTACAGATGTTTGCCCAGCTGGATGAATGAAGGACTGGATAAAAGGATGGCTACAAACCCTCCATGACTCTGCTTCACTTCGGGGGCAACATCCACCCTCATCAGACCTGGTACTTCCCCCATGTGGGCCCAGCGCTTTCCCATCCAGTGTGGGGAGCCCACACCATCCCGAGGGCTGTGTCTCCCCATCAGAATGGTTTCCCCGAAGGTGCACACTGGGGGGCGCTCCCAGAAGGGCTGTCCCCTCTAGCACTGGTGTCTTTCTATCTCTCATCCTGTTGTCTGGGTCCTCTCCAACACCTGGACAGGCACATGAGCCCCTCGGGCGTCTTCCCCTGGCACTAGTACAGGTTGGCAGGGGTCAGGGGTCGGATGCAGACTCACCGTCAAACAGCCCATCAGGCTCTGCTCAAAGGGCCGCTGGAAGGCTCGCGGGTCTCCACACCAGTCCAGCAGCTCTGTGGCGGCATTGTGGAAGTTGGCAGGGTTCTGTAAGTGCTGTGGGAGAGGGAAGGAGGCAGCATGAAGCCCCAGCAACAAGGCCAGTGGGGGTGGCACATGGGTCTGGGGCGGCGAAGACCCCAGGACTCCCTGGGGATGAAATATGAAGAAGGGGGGGCTGGTGCCAGGATGAAGGAACCTTCTCGAATAACCTGTCATTCATTTTCCCTGTGCATCCATCCCACCTAATCCCTGCAGGATGTGGATTAGTAGCCCCATTACAGAGATAGTAACACCAAGGTCTAGAGAAAGACAATAATATTAAAGTGTTTTCTGGATGCTGGCTGTGGGGGCAGGTGAACTCTGCAGGGTTCAGGAGGGTGGCCTGTGGCCCCCATGCTTGGAGGCTGGCTGTCCCCGAGCCAGGGCAGGCTAGGCCCTGGAGAGTCTTTCTTGATGCCTCTCCCACTAACCACTACCACTAGCACAGCCCTGGTCCGGGCGCCCACCAGCTCTGGCTGCAGAGGGAGCTCAGCCATGGCCAAATAGGGCAGGGTCAGGCAGCTTAGAGAGAGGTCTCTGGGCCAAAGCCAGACTGGGAGTTGAAGTGCAAGCACGCTATGCCCAGGATATCCTCACACCAGGGTCTGGCATACGTGGCTTAGCTTCCCAAAACCAGATTTCCAGGCCCAGTCTGCTGGCCTTGTCAGAAGGGGTCCGTGCCTGAGCTCAAGCCCCTCCCAGTCAGGGGATCTGAGTCGGCAGAGACTGAATCTTGGTGCCAAGGCCTCTGGATCCTGCTTTGGACCCAGGCCACAGGGCAGCCAGGGTGGGTGAGGTAGCTTCATTCTCTAACACCTGTCCAGGTCTTCCCAGGCCCTGCTGAGTCGAGACTTAAACCAGTGGATGAGTGACTCGCTTGGGGTCACACAGCAGCGCAGGGGGAGAGCTAGAATTCCAGGAATCGGTGTCAGAGACCGTGGATCCTCCAGAGAGACATCTAGGGTATGATATAAGGGTCAGAGCACAAGCCAGCCTCAAAGGGTATGGTGGGACCTTCTAAGGCCCCTGTTGCCTTGGTGCTAGGAGAGACAGGAACAGTAGCTTCCCCTGGGGTGGGCACTCTATTCCGAACTGCAGCTCGAGCCTGTCTTGAAGCCAAGGAGGCTGGGCGGGGGCGGGGTTGGGGTCTCAGCAGCCGCCAGGTCCCAGAATTGGGAAATAATGGCACGTACAGTGGGAGCCCCTGTGGAACAGGGCCCCAGGGGCTCCCTCTGCCTTCGCCTCCTGCTTGCTGCCAACCCAGGACCGTCCCTTCACCTTCCCGAACCTCAGTCGTCCCATCTGTAAAAGGGGGATGACGGATCATGGCTTGGTGGTGGGAATTTTTCTTTCCTTTGTGCAGGGCTTCAAGACTATTCCTACGACACGGTTCGTGTAAGAAAGATTTAAAAATGGATGGAAGACAGTGAAATGAATTAGAACATGGTGCCCCTAGGGGAGGGAGCGGTGGAGGCGAGCAAGAGGGCAAGCAAGTGGCAGCACAGCCCTCCATCACGGGGCTGGGGAGGCTTAGACGAGACGAGGCTCATGTGGCCCCTGGCACGGTGCCTGGCGCGTGGGGTGTTCCCACGTGGGGCTGCCCTTGGCCCTGACTCTGGCTCCTGGAGTCTCTCCTGGAAGCACAGCTGCACTCAGCAGCCCTCAGCCCTGGCTCACACAGGCTCTCTCTGCAAAGGCAGAGCTCCCGGCCCTTGACACAAAGGAGAAGGGAGCAGCCTCCGCATGGAGGACGGGGCCCTTTGAGAGGGCAGTGAGGAGTTCTCCCCTCTGCCTTCTGTGCTCGCTTTCTAACGTGGGCCCCTTCCGAGGCTACGGAGCGCGGGGGGTGCGGAAGAGGGGGTATCCCTGCTCCACATGGAAAGCCATGCAAATCGGCTCATTCTTTGCCTGGCAGCCTCCCCTGGCTAACTGAGTTATTCCGTTTATTTACCTGATGTCACACCCAATTAGCAGGGTCAGCAGCCACCACATGCTGCTCTCAGAGCGGCCTGCCCATAGCACCCTCACTCCTGGCACCCCCTTTTGGGGCTCTGGGCTCACAAGTGGCTTCTGAGGCCAGTCTCAGGGGCCCGGTTTTGTTCTGGCCCCCAGAGCACACCGTCTTCCGTATCATGGCCGGCCCACCTCCAAGCTTCTCCACCTCATGTGGCCTTCAGCTGGGGCTCTGGGTGGTCACTGGTGGGTGCAACTTATTGATAAAATGGACACGGGTGTCCCGTTCAGTGGCTGCTGCTCAGCAGCTCTGTGGCCTCAGCCACGCCCCCGCCCCTCTCTGGGCTTCTGTTTCCCGTTTCAACTATGAGGTCACTGGCCTGCACAGAAACGGGTGACCCAGCTCAAACCCCACCTCGGCCACCGAGCCCCACAATGCTGGGTGTGCTCCCGAGCGTCAGACCCCTCACTGGTGAGATGGGGTGTCCATAGCCTGCAGGGCTGCCCCACGGCTCGGGAACAATTTAAATCATGACGTCCCCATGAGAGAGTCGGGGCCCCGTGGAGACGGCTATTGCTCTGACCTCTGTCCAGTTTTTTCTCTCCTAGGAGCTTCTGGAGGGTAGAAGTAGTGCCCTGTCCCCCTCTGGAACCCTCAAGACTGGCCCGAGGCCAGGTCCGTGCAGAACAGGTAAGCTGTTCACTGTCCAAAAGTCAGTCTATCCGTGGTGTCGGCGGCAACCTGGCTGCTGCAGGACGGGTCCCTAGTGGCATGTGGAGCAGCCAGGGCTGGGTGGGGGAGCTTGGTCTGGGGATGGGAGCACAGATCTGAATCATAGGCAGAAGCCTCCCTGGGAGTGGCCGTTCCTGGATACCAATGTCTCACTTCCCACCAGACCGACTGCCTGTCTCCACAGTTCCTGGGAAGATCTGGGCTATATTCACTGGCTACTGGGTCTGTTGGGGCAGGATTACGGGACACCAAAGCCTAGATCTGTTGGATCGGCTATACAGACCAAGTGATGAATGCATCTTCTGATTAGACCACCTGTGATCCAAACAACCTGTCCATCCTTCCAAAAACGAATCGGTCTATCCATCCATCCATCCATCCATCCCCTCGTCTGTCTACCCTTTCAACCGTTCACTACCTTATTCATTTCCCATCTATCCATTCATCTGCCTACCTATCTGTCTATCCATCCAGAAGTTCACCTCTCCCCTGATCTCCCTCAACCTCTGTGGGCCCTGGCCTGAGTGCTGCGCTAGGATCTGCTGACTTTGAGATGGATACAGCACATTCTCTGCCCCTGAGGAACTAAGCCTGGCAGGTCTGATATGTGCCCCACGGGGCCGAGGGCCCAAGGGAGAAAGAGCAGGGTGGGTGAGGCAGCTGGGTGCCCAGGAAACAGCGGGGCTCAGAGATGGGCGGTGCAGCTGCTCAGAAGGGCCGTGGGGCTGGGGGAGGCCATTGTGCAGGAATTAGCCAATTTGTACGTGCGGCCCGGATGAGTCTGCGACCTCTGAGTGGGCCCACTGTAGAGAAGGCACTGGTTCTCCCAGTCCTTGGGGCTGAGACAGGGGAAAGGCAGCTGGTGGGGGGGAAGAGAGGCCGTGGGGTGCTTGGGGGATGGCCGGGGTGAGCAACAGCGAGAATCAGGGTGGAGTGGGTGGGGTGTGTGTGGGGGGGGGGAGGCTGTGCTTAGAAGTGAGGCAGGGAGTCTGAGGCTGCAAAGCCCCTGATGGGAGCCACAGACCCACCAGCCAGAGCGAGGCCCAGCCAACGCATCTGTCATCCTCAGAGCACGCAGACCTGCTTGCCTTTCTCTTCTGATTACGACAGGGGACGTCTGAGGATCAACAGTCTTCAGCCAGACGCGCTGCCCTCTGGAGCAGCCACGGAGCAGACAGACATTAAGGGTCGAGCTGTGTCTGACCGGAGGTGTGGAGGGGGATGTGGGGGTGTCGGGAGCTCTGGATGGCCCAGGGGGTCATCTGGACAGTCTGCTCACCCTCGCAAACGCAGCAGGGTCTGGCCCCAGCGCAGAGCTCTGGGAGTGTGTGTGCACGTGCACGCGTGTGTACACACATGTGTGGGCTGGCCAGCCGGGGAGGGTAGCTGAGAGGATCCCTGGCCTTCCAGCTGCCCTGGCACACACTGGGCTGGGCGTCCCTTCTGATGTCATTCTCCAGACTGAGTGGGGTACTGTGGTGGCTTAATCAGGGTCAGGTAGTTAGCAAGTGGCAGAATGGGGGCTTGGACTTGCTGATGGGTCAATCTGAGCCCTGGGGGCCACACTCCGAGGGGGTAAAGTGTGCCCTGATTTCCGGGGACACAGAGCCAGCCACGGGAGAAAGGTCAGCTCGTGGGCAGGTCTCAGGAGGAGCCTGTGCCCAGCGCAAGGAGGGGCTCATACTGGGTGGTGGGACTGTGCTGTTGGGGGTGGAGGCCACTGACAGCGGCCCCTCAGGGCTGGGAGAAGCTGGGCCACAGGCTGAGCTGGGAGAGAGCCCTGCAGAGTCCCAAGGAGGAGCTGGAAGGAGGGCACCGTCTGGCTTCTACTCTGTGACCGTGAGCAGAGGTGTCATTGGCGTTCGGCGGAGCTGTTTGGGCTGGGTTCAATCTGTAACGGGTCTTCTTCAATTTCCTCTCCTCAGACCCCGCCTGGGCTTCCAAGAGAGCTCTGCTTGATATTTAAGAGAGGACACACGCCCAGTGCTTGAGGACCGGCCTCAGCTCCACGGGGCCCTGGGAGCGCAGGCTGTGGGGGTAGTGAGGCTGGGAGCACTCCCTCCCCAGGGCTCCTGAGGCCAGCGGCCCATGCTGGTGACCCATGTCCTGTTAAGCCGCCTAAGCCTAGGGCCTCCCCCGATGCTGAGACACAGGATAATAGCCCTTGCCACCCCGTGACAGTCTGGACCCATGGGACGGCTGGGGAAACTGAGTCTCAGAGAAACAAAGGGACAGGCTTGAGATGACACGGTGGGCATGTGGAAGAGTGAGGATTTGGGCCCGGGTCTCCCTGATGTCAAAGCTCCGCCCCTTCTACCATCTCGCTCGCTCCTGGAGTACGGTAACACTCTGGAGTTGGCGCAGGCACCTCCATGCAGGGCTGCTAAGGGGGCTGCGCCCAGAGGGTGGTGCGCCACTCCTGGTCAACACTGGGGGGCGCCCGCCAGCCTTGGCTCAACCAGGCTCGAGGGGGCGGGGAGGTGGGGGCTCTGAGCCCACCTGGAACCTGCCCCACTCTGAACAATCCAGAGAGGACGCTGGCGGGAAGGTCTCCCCTAGAACGTGGCATGAGCATGGGCTGATGAGGGAGCTTGCTGTGCTCAGGAATGAGGCCCTCCCAGCACGAGTGAAGCTGGGCTGTGTGACCTCAGCTGACCCCCTTCCCTTCTCTGTGCCTCCATTTCCTTTTCTGTAGCGTGATCTAATTTCTCCGAAGTTTTCCTTTTCTGTTTCTTTATAGAGAACCACAGAAGCAGAGGGGTGGGGAGCTTCGGACTGGGAAGGAGATTAAGTACTTTACTACATCTTCACAGCAGCCCAGATGGCACAGCAGAGCCCAGAGAGGGCATGACGCTGGCCCCAAATCACACAGCTGGGAAGAGAAAGGGAGGGGAGGGGAGGGGAGGGAAGAAGAAGGGAGGAAAGGGACAGCGTGGAGCTGTCACATGAACCCTGGTGTGCAATGTCAGTGTGGGTGACAAGAGACCATGGGGTGGTCAGAAAGACCCCGGGCAGTCAGCCCTGGCCTGCCACCACCTCCACTCAGCACCCAAGAGGCCCAGCTCCACAGTGCAGGCCAGCACCCCTCCTGCTCTGCCTGTCTTGCCAGCCCTGCCCTCACCAGCTGTGCCAGGCTGGGCAGGGAGGAGGCGTGAGTGCAGGCCACACACCCACCTGCTTGATGCACTGTAGTCGGTCATTGGTCTGTTGGATGTGCCTGTCCATAGAATTCATTCTGGCCGTTTCACTGGGTTCTACCCGAGAGCCATGAACGTCCAGCCTGTGAAGACAGAAGACGGCATGTGTCACTGGGGTTGCACCAGGCCCAACAGCCTCACAGCCACCCTGCAGCCCCAACACAGACAGACATGCTGGGCCCAGTGGCTCCCAGCAGGTTTGAGGCCCCTTTGGGAGCCACTGTGGCCTCTGTCCTAGCCAGCCCCATGCTGGAGGGAGGAACTTCAGGCACAGCTGCCTGGCCCAAGGGGAAGCCTGTCTGGGCTGAGGGCGGGAGGTGCTCCTGGGTGTTCTCTGTGAGTGACTCACGTCAGCCCGGAGTACGCATGTCCACCACGGGACACGGAACAGCACACTCGGGCACACTCATTTCTACACACCTGTGCGTGTGCTGGGGGCTGATGGGGATGGCAACCCCATCTTTGGATTCCCAGTTCAGGTAAGGCTTAGCTTACCTGACGTGGCTCTGTGTGTATGCAAGTGTGCATGCACACGTGTATGTGTGTGAGCACCCACGTGGAGGGGTCGAGCCACATGGCCCTCATTGAGTGTGTGGTGTAAGAGCAGCGACCTGCCACGGGTACCATGGTCCCCCACCTCAAACCCCCCATGCTTTCGAGTTCTTCATGCTGTGAACCCCGATTCCATTTCTCCTTTTGCCTTCCTGGGCAAGTAGGGTGGGCGTCCGTGCCACCCCCTTTCCAAGAAAAGGAGACTGAGGCTCAGAAAGGGACGGGAGTCATCCACGGTGGCACAGGGAGCCAGTATGAGAGCCCAGGCCAGGAACTAGGGCTCTGGCTGCCAGCTTGTGGCTCAGAGGGCAGGGTCCACGGACGTCACGGCCACCAGGCTCACTTCCTGAATAGCTGTGGGCCTCGAGAACTCCAACATGAATGTGACTTTCTTCCGGCGGGGTAAGCTAGGTGGAGGAAGCCCCCTCACTCCAGAAAGTCCCCAGAGTCCCTGGGCCTCCCCAGAGAGGCCACAATGGCAATGGCAGAGATGGAGAGAGAGAGAGAGAGAGAGAGAGAGAGAGAGCTGGAGAGAGAGAGTCTACCCAGTACTCAGTGGCCCAGGTCTTTGGGCCAATGCAGAAATCTGCCCATGGTCACTGGGTTTGCTTTCCCACAACCCAGTGGGCATTTCAAGTGACAGACACAGGGTGCTGGACAGAAGCCCCTGGCCCTCGGCCTTCTTCGCTCTCCTGTGGCACTGTCCCCCAGAAGTCCCCTCAGCTCCTGTGGCACCGCCCCCCGGAAGTCCCCTCAGCTCCTGCGGTGTCACCAAAGGTCCCATTTACCAGACACCTCCCGCACGCTGGGGCCCTGCATCCTCTCCTTTACTCTTCTGTAAGACTAGAATCATCTCCATTTTATAGACGAGGAAATGAAGGTCTGAGATCTGAGATCACCCAAGTCCCCACGACCCGTAGGAGCCTGTCTGCTTCCACGTCCTGACTCTGCCCCCTGCGCGAGCCCCCCCCGCTGAGGGAACTTCCAGCAGAACATGCCAGGGCCCAACCTTGGGAAGAAAGGCCTGGCTGTACTTCCAAGGAGCGCTTTACCACACAGCTCCTTCCAAGCACTTCCTATCGTTCCATTTGTATCAAAAAGGCAGCTCATGGGGCGCCTGGGTGGCTCAGTGGGTTAAAGCCTCTGCCTTTGGCTCGGGTCATGATCTCAGAGTCCTGGGATCGAGCCCCGCATCGGGCTCTCTGCTCAGCAGGGAGCCTGCTTCCTCCTCTCTCTCTGCCTACTTGTGATCCCCATCTGTCAAATAAATAAAAAAAAAAAAACTTAAAAAAAAAAAAAGAAAGAAAGGCATGCATGGTTCAAAAATCAAAGTCCAGTGATGTTCTGGCTCTGTCCCCAAGCCCCCAGATGGCCTTCCTGGTAGGACCAGGGTCACCAGTCTCCTGAGGGGCTCAGAGAAGCAAAGATCTATGGGTACTATTCCCTGCCACCCCTTAAAAAGAAACCACATAAAATAACATTCTAATACACACGACTTGGACCTTGCTTTTCTCCTCTGAATGGTATCTCAATGTTTATTCCACATCAAGATACAAAGAGCCTTTTTAAAAAATATTTTATTTATTTATTTATTTGTCAGAGAGAGAGAGAGAGAGGCAGGCAGAGGGAGAAGCAGGCTCCCCACTGAGCAGGGACCCTGATGTGGGGACTCAATCCCAAGAACCTGGGATCATGACTTGAGCTGAAGGTAGACGCTTAAGCGACTGAGTCCCCCAGGTGTCCTATAAAGAGCCTTTTCAGTTTTTAATAGCAGCCCAGTATTCCTAGGCACGGATGAATCACTTACCCAACCAAATTCTGAATGTCCACCCCTGCCAGGCACTGCCCCAAGGTCAGAGGCCTTGGCTGAGGTCCTTCTGCTCAGAGGGCTCGTGCTCCAGACGGAGTGATGAAGCCTGGAGCTGTCCCCAAATCCATAGTGCAGACGGGCCTGCGAGATCACCTTTTATACCGGCCACATCATCCACATGTGAATTAATCTGGAGAGCCTATTCTTAGAAGTGGAGTTTCTGGGTCACTTGGGCATTTGCACTTTTGAGAAATGCTTTCTGGGTTCCCTCAAACTGAGAGCTCTCCCACAAAAAGGGAAAAGGAGGGGGAGTGCTCCACATTCACTTTTTTCTACCCCCCAACACCCCTCCATACACCCCACCGATCACGTGTTTATACCCCCAGGTTACCAACCTCTCCATCCATCATTTACTCACCTAAATGCCTGTCTGTCCTTCTGTCTATCCAGGCACCTATCCACGCATCCATCCAAACACCTCTAGTCTCCACGTGCCCACCCATGCATGCTTCCCACTCACCCAGTAAATACTTTCCAATATCTATACAGTGCTGGGTCCTCTGCCAGATCTACAAGCCATGGAGAGATTAACAAGCTAGTATTCACTCCACATGACCCAGTAGGTGACTGTTTGTCGAGCTCCTGCTGTAAGTCAGGCGCTGGTCCAGGCACTGGGCGTGGACAGACACCGTTACTATATCCCCATTTTACATTTACAAATGAGGAAAGTGAGGCTCAGAGGTTTTAGCAGCAGCCAGCTCGAGAATCCGGGCTTTCTCATTACAACCCAGACTTTGGTGCCGCTAGTGGGGGAGGGGCTGGGGGTCCCCACTGGAGATTGCTGCGATGTGGTAGGCAGTTGTCATGGGAGAAGAGTGTCGCTCTCCTTGTTGCTCCTGGAGGATCCCCAGGCAGGGGCTGAATTTCTCCTGAGTTTACTTGTCTAGAGTCCCAGCCTGAGTTCACTCCTCCAGGACTCCTGGAGTCAGGGACAAACCATGGTGCCCAGTTGGCCAGCAGGGGGCGCTGTTGATGAAGCTAAGTACCCAGAGGGCTGGAAACCGGCTCTGTGGGGCTCTCTCTTGAGGGCCCTCTTTCTCCAGTGAGGACCTGCGGGCCCCAGAGGGTTTTGAGTAAATTTCTCTGGCTTCCTAGGCCTCGGATTCCCCATTTGTAGAGCAGGGTGGTGAGTGGGGATTAGGAGGCCTCACAAGACTCTATCTCTACGTAGACTTTTCCCAGGATGGACACAGCATTTTCATCTAGGGTCAGAGCCCTAGTGGGGCCTTGATAAATGCTTGTTGAATGGCTGACAGATCGTTTCTGGAGACTGAGGGGGCACTCGGCCCACCCAGGGAAGCCCTAAGCAGGCATCAGGAGGCCAGACCCACCTAGGCAGCCAGAGGCTGTTCCTGTCTGCTCAGTACCCCCTGGTCTGGGCCTGGAACACTGGCAAGGAAGCGAGCAGGAAAGAAGGAAAGGTATCACAGATCACGGGGACAACTGTGTGTCCTATATGTCTTAATCTACAGAAGAACAAAACGTCCAGCTGATGAAGGAGACACAGGTGAGGTGACAGTCTTAAACTGCCGAGATCAGTGGGAAATTTTGGTTATTAACAGCAGGAATGGATGAGGCTGGCGGTTCCAGGCCACACAGAAAAAGGGTGAAGGCCTGGAAGGCTAGGGTGCTGGGCATGGAGAGGGGAACGGTGGGCTGAAGGAGTTAGGAGAGGTAGCTCATTGTGGGGCAGTCTGGAATCTTCCATGTGTCCCGTACCTGCCTTGTTTAGGCAGCAGGCCAGGTCCCGTGCATTGCTAATTTACTGAATCCTAAAAGGCTCACAGAGGGGCAGCAACTTGCCCAGGGTCACACGTCCAGGAAGGGGTTGAGCTGAGATTCGGACCCTCTGCCTTTCTCACCATTCATGTGTTTTTCTTCCTGGAAGTCCCCACTCAAGGGCTGTGTTGGGCCCAAAGAAGGGTCCTCTTGTTCTGTCCAAATTGTCCAAACTCATCCACTTTCAAGGCCCGTCCCCGCCTTCCCGGGCCACGGGTCTCCTGCAAGTTGGCAGTGAAGGGACGCGGCGCAAGCCCGGCAGCCAGCAGAGGTCGCTCTCCGCCGCGGGAGCGTTGCTTGGCCTGGCTGTTGCTTCCTTCCTCAGACCTCGGGCTTCTTTAAGCCTTTTTACAAGTAGCTACAAATCCTCCGTGGCTGCAGCTCCGGTGCCCCCGGTGGCCGGGCTCCCTCCCAGCTGGAGATGGCTGACGGCCTGGCTCTGGGTGCACCCGGGGCCTCAGCCCTTCCCGGCCGCCTGCCTGTCTCTGAATGGGGAGTGGGTTTAAGCAATCAAGCCCCCAACCCCCTCTAGCCTCTGACCCTTCTTCCTGGTTGGGGCAGCCTAAGGAGTCTGGGGGGACTGTGCTGTGATACCTTTCTCCAGGCCTCAGTTTCCCTGTGTGGAAAACAAGGCCTTTCAAACTCCAACATCTTGGGATTCCTGTGTCAGGAGCTCCAGCTCTTTGAAACACTCTCTCAGCCAAGTGTAGAATGCTGGACTTGAAACTGCAAAGCTTGTCCCAAGGCAGCCCCGAAAACTGTAAGGGAGAGCCCCTGGTCCGGGGAACCCTAAGATTGCACACGCACGCCTCCTCACCCCCCGAGGCTCAGCTTGGCTTCACGCCACACATATGTGCTCTCTGCTAGTGACCTCTTTGTCGG